CACACCAGGTTCTAGTTCCAGTCGGGGTGCTGGATTCTGTCCCGACTGCCCCTCTTCCAGGCCAGCTCTCTGCTGTGGCCAGGGAGTGCAGTGGAGGATGGCCCAAGTGCTTTGGCCCTGCACCCCACGGGAGACCATGAGGAAGCACCTGGCTCCTGCCTTCGGATCAGCATGGTATGCCGGCCACAGCGCACCGGCCGCGGCGCCCATTGGAGGGTGAACCCTCGGCAAAGGAAGACCTTTCTCTCTGTCTCTCTCTCACTGTCCACTCTGTAAAAAAACAAAACAAAAAAAAACAAAACAAAACAAAAAAAACAAAAAAAAGGTTGGCCCTAGGAGAGACTCTCTCTTTTTGGTCTCCAAGCTTAACATGTCAAAACTAAAAAGCAAAACAAACAAACAAACAAAAAAACAAAGAAATATACTGGCCGGCGCCGCAGCTCAACAGGCTAATCCTCCGCCTTGCGGCGCTGGCACACCGGGTTCTAGCCCCGGTTGGGGCGCCGGATTCTGTCCCGGTTGCCCCTCTTCCAGGCCAGCCCTCTGCTGTGGCCCTGGAGTGCAGTGGAGGATGGCCCAAGTGCTTGGGCCCTGCACCCCATGGGAGACCAGGAAAAGCACCTGGCTCCTGCCTTTGGATCAGTGCGGTGTGCCGGCTGCGGCGGCCATTGGAGGGTGAACCAACGGCAAAAGGAAGACCTTTCTCTCTGTCTCTCTCTCACTGTCCACTCTGCCTGTCAAAAATTAAAAAAATATATATATACTTTCACTAGCCATAAATAAGAGTACCAATTATTGTACATCTTCACCAGTGTTATCAAATTATTTAACCTTTGTTAACCTGATAAGTGAAAGATGACATCTGTACGACAAATAACATGTGCTTGTGGTGTGTCGGGTGCTGTTCTATAGGCTGGGACACAACAGAGTTCTTGCCTTCAGGGAGTTTACATTGCAAGGACTGTGTGGGGCCATGTGGAGAAAAAGGAAGACCTTCCTCTCTGTCTCTCTCTCACTGTCCACTCTGCCCGTCAAAAAAATAAATAAATAAATAAAAATTAAAAAAAAAAGAAAGACATAAAAGAACTGAGTCAAGGAAAAGAGATACAGAGAGCTGCAAAGAATTAATGTCAGAAAGATAGCAATTATTACCAACTCAATAGCTGTAGGACAAAACAAAGTGTTTTGGGGACACAGCAGAGAGAACCTAGAAAAATGTTATTTAAAATAATGAATATATGAACTATGAACATATTGAAAAAGAAAAGTACTTTGAGGATATTTGCTCTACAGAAGCCAGAATGATGAAAACACAATTAAATCAGTGTGGTACCTGCATACTAATAGACACCCAGAAACAAGCTCTACTTCATACGATGTGCCTACATGTGAGCAAGTATGATACTATTTAACTAGTATGGTTTTAAAATACTATCTGGTAGGGTTGTTTCCCCAAGTATACTTCTCTAACATGATAAAATCTGCATTAAAAAACAAACCCTACTTTGGCCACTGGATTATACTTCTTTGAATAGGACTTTATCCAGAGAGTGTACTTCATGAAACCAGGAGTCATAAAGGTTAGCTACATACACCCACAGAGTTAAGAAATGAAGGGAAAAAACCCATAGCAGTCATGGCTGTCGCTCCCCATCTTCGTGGAGGAATGACACAGGACCCTGTGCTGTTCTTTCGTCTGCTCGGCCCTCCCCGGGTTTGCTGCTGGTTCTTCCCGGGTTGGCTACTTCCCTTCCACCTCTGTGGAAGGGCGGTTCCCCCTGGCCACATTCCCCACTTCCGCAGGGGAGCGGCACACTGCCGGCCGGCTATCTCGGGGGCTGCACAGGTGTTCCCTCAGACGTTCCCCTTAGATGTTCCTCTTAGATGTTCCCGGTGCATGCCGTCTCTCTCCTCTTTTATAGTCCTCCTCCGCCAATCCCAACTCGGCTGCCCACACGCTGAGTACGCTGCTCTCCTCCAATCAGGAGCAAGTCCTACAGTTTATTGGCTGAACTGGAGGCAGCTGTACAGAAGCTGTTTTCTTCTCTCCCAGCGCCATATTGTGGGAGAGCAGATGCATAGAATAAGTCTTAATTCCAGTAACAGTCTAGTCCGAGTTGCTCCCCACAGATCCCCCTTTCTTTTTATTTTTTGGCGTTGATACGCGCCTGTCTTCGGTGTCCCGCGGCACACACTCTGCTCTACTTGCTAGAGTTGCCACAGGTTCTTACAAGTCCTATCAATCAGGCAAACCGAATCCGGGTCCTCTCTTCGCCATGTTGTGAGGAGGTTTTTAGGCGCTGATGCGTGCCTGTCTTCGGTGACCTGCGGCTCATACTCTGGTCGAGCCGCCTGCTGGTGCTTACCGCCTTAATCAGGCAGACCGAATCCAAGCTTTCTCATTGCCATATTGTGGGGGAGACTTATTAGTGTTGGTTCGTGCCTATCTTCGGTGACCTGCAGCTCATACTCTGGTCGAGCTGCCTGCTGGTGCTTACCGCCCTAATCAGGCAGACCGAATCCAAGCTCTCTCATTGCCATGTTGTGGGGTGACTTATTGGTGTTGATAACGTGCCTGTCTTCGGTGACCTGCGGCGCATAAGCTGCTAGCCGCCCGCAGGTGCTCATCGCCTCACTAATCAGGCAGACCGAATCCAAGCCTTCTCATTGCAGTATTGTGGGGAGGCCTTTCTATTTCTCTATTTCTCTATCTCCAGGCATTCCTATTTCTCCCATTTTACTTCTGTCTGCCAACATTCCTATTTCTCTCATTTTACTTCTAAACTTCTGTTTCTCTTATCCCCGCGGCTTCCTGGCGCCCGCCCCGAGGCTGCTTCTCGGCGGCTTTCCGGCTCTGAGCCGCTTCAGCCCGCGCCTCTCTCATTTGCGCGGCTTCGCACTAGCCCAGTGTTCCCTATCTACTTGAGCCCCGCACGCTCTGTCTGCGCGCGGCAGCCTCCGCGAGTCACACAGCGTAGCTTACGTCTCCGCCACTAGCATTCAATCTAAGTTCCCCGGGCTAACCTGGCGAATTCAACCCAGCTCACGTTTCCGCTTCTGGTTTCAACTCTTCGCCCCCCATTCCCGGGCTAACTTGAGAATCCCAAAGTGGCTTTCGTCTCCGCCTCGGCCTGCCCCCCGCGGCTTCAATTTCCCTAACATTTTTCTCTACCCGGTACGTTTCCCCAAGCTTTCCTCCAACAATACTCCTCCCTCATTTCTCCTGGCTTCTCCCCACAGTCCGTATCCGAGTCTGTTTGTTCTAGCTTTCACTTTCGCTTTCGACCTTAGAGATTTCTCCCAGCTTCCCCCCGTAGTCCGTATCTGAGTCTATGCCTAGGCTTTCAATAGCTTCTTCCGGCACCTTTTTCGTCCGGCTTTTCCCTAGGCTGTTTGCTAGTCTCTCTCTCTGGTATTTTCCCATTTCTTCCCGTTTCTTCCCTCCTAGGTTTTCTATCCGTCCTAGGTTTCCTATCTGTCCTGAGTTTCCTATCCGAGTCAAGTTTCCTATCCGAGTCACGGCACCATTATGTCGCTCCCCATCTTCGTGGAGGAACGACACAGGACCCTGCGCTGTTCTTTCGTCTGCTCGGCCCTCCCCGGGTTTGCTGCTGGTTCTTCCCGGGTTGGCTACTGTCCCTTCCACCTCCGTGGAAGGGCGGTTCCCCCTGGCCACATTCCCCACTTCCGCAGGGGAGCGGCACTCCGCCAGCCGGCTCTCTCGGGGGCTGCACAGGTGTTCCCTCAGACGTTCCCCTTAGATGTTCCTCTTAGATGTTCCCGGTGCATGCCGTCTCTCTCCTCTTTTATAGTCCTCCTCCGCCAATCCCAACTCAGCTGCCCACACGCCGAGTACGCTGCTCTCCTCCAATCAGGAGCAAGTCCTACAGTTAATTGGCTGAACTGGAGGCAGCTGTGCAGAAGCTGTTTTCTTCTCTCCCAGCGCCATATTGTGGGAGAGCAGATGCATAGAATAAGTCTTAATTCCAGTAACAGTATAGTCCGAGTTGCTCCCCACAATGGCAGGGAAGGGGAAGGTTCAGAGATTACTGGAACTAAAGAAAACTTTTCTCCATTATTTGGATTTTTATATTTTTAGGAATAATACTTTTGTAATGTTCTCATACATACACACACACACAGATAAAAAATTAAGAGTGAGTCATGGGGCCGGTGCTGTGGCACAGCAGGTTAATGCCCTGGCCTGAAGCACTGGCATCCTATATGGGTGTCGGTTCTAGTCCCAGCTGCTCCTCTTCCGATCCAGTTCTCTGCTATGGCCTGGGATAGCAGTGGAGGATGGCCCAAGTCCTTGGGCCCCTGCACCTGCATGGGAGACCTGGAGGAAGCTCCTGGCTTCGGATCGGTGCAGCTCTGGCCATGTGGACATCTGGGGAGTGAACTAGTGGATGGAAGACCTCTCTCTCTGTCTCTACCTCTCTGTAAGTAACTCTTTGAAATAAAAATAAAAAATAATAAAAAAAATTAGAATGAGTCTTAAGCCTAGTGCTTAAGCTGCCAGTTGTGATTCCTCTATCTTGTATTGGACTGTTTGGGTTTCAGTTCTGGCTTTGCTCCTGATTCATTTTCTGCTAATGCGCATCCTGGGAGGTAGCAGGTGATGCTCAAGTAAGTGGGTACCTGCCATCCATGTGGGAGACCAGGATTGATTTCTTGGCTCTTGGCTTCAGCCTGGCTCAGCCCTAGCTGTTGTGGGCACTTCAGGAATGAATCAGTGGGTAAGTGAAATCTCTCAAATAACACAGAATTTTTTAAAATGATAAAATGGAAAGGTTGGATTGGTGCTTAAAGAGCGCCTTTCAAATAAAATAAATCCTGACTATTTTGGTGTGAAAAATTTTGCATGCATTTTCTTTCACAATATACATTTTCAATTAACTTTTTGAAGACGCATTGTATGTGAAAAAATTTCAAATTTTTTCACCAAAAGTTTTAATTCCACTTACATAAATGTTTTGAAAATTCCCTTCTAATAGTGGAAAAGAGCCTATTAAATACTTCTGAAAAAATCCAGGTAATTTAAAAATCTGTTACGTACTTTTTTTTTTGGAAGATTTATTTGAAGTTAGAGTTGGCGGGGGGGAGGTGGGGTGGAGAATCTTCCATCCACTTCACTCCCCAGATTTATTTACTTATTTGAAAGGCAGAGTTACAGAGAGACAGAATCACAGAGCGAGCGAGCAAGAGAGGTTTTCCATCTGCTGGCTCACCCTCCAGATGGCTGCAAAAGCTACAGCTGCAGCTATCTGAAGCCAGGAGCCAGGGGCTTCTTCTGGTCTCCCACACGGGTGCAGGGGTCCAAGGACTTGGGCCATCTTCTTCTTCTTCTTTTTTTTTTTAAGGTTTTTATTTATTTGAAAGTCAGAGTTACATAGAGAGGAGAAGTAGAGAGAGAGAGAGGTCTTCCATCTTGTCGCTCCCCGTCTTCGTGGGGGAACGACACAGGACCCTGCGCTGTTCTTTCATCTGCTCGGCCCTCCCCGGGTTTGCTGCTGGTTCTTCCCGGGTTGGCTGCCATCCCTTCCACCTCCGTGGAAGGGCGGTTCCCCCTGGCCACTTTCCCCACTTCCGCAGGGGAGCGGCACACCGCTGGCCGGCTCTCTCGGGGGCTGCTCGGGTGTTCCCCTTAGATGTTCCTGGTGCATGTTGTCTCTCTCCTCCTTTATAGTCCTCCTCCGCCAATCCCAACTCGGCTGCCCACACGCCGAGTACGCTGCTCTCCTCCAATCAGGAGCAGGATCAGCTCCTGGAGGTCATCACTCAAGTTAGCAAGAGGCAGCTGCATAGAAGCTGTTTTCTCCTCTCCCAGCGCCATATTGTGGGAGAGCAGATGCATAGAATAAGTCTTAATTCCAGTAACTCAGTCCAGTCCGAGTTGCTCCCCACACATCTGATGGTTCACTCCCCAATTGACCGCAATGGCCAGAGCTGTACTGATCTGAAGCCAGGAGCTTCTTCCAGGTCTCACACATGGGTGCAGGGGCCCAAGGACTTGGGCCATCTTCTACTGCTTTCCCAGGCCATAGCAGAGAGCTGGATCGGAAGTGGAGCAGCTGGGACTAGAACCGGCGCCCATATAGGATGCCGCGCTCCAGGCCAGGGCATTAACCCACTGCACCACAGCGCTGGCCGCTGAGCCATCTTCTTCTGCTTTCCCAGGCCGTAGTAGACAGCTGGATCAGATGTGGAGGAGCAGGGACTCAAACTGGCACACATATGGGATGCCGGCGCTGCGGACAGAAGCTTTACCGGCTACACCACAGCACTGGCCCCATGAATAAACCTTAAAAAAAAAAAAGTCTTCAGGGGTTGGTGCTGTGACACAGTGAGTTAAGGCTCCACTTGGGCTAGTGGCACCCCATTCCAGTGGGCCAGTTAGGATCCTGGCCACCCATGTGGGAATCCAGGATGGAGTTTCTAGCTCCTGGCTTTGACCTGGCCCAGATCTGTTAGAGTCATTAATATTACTCTTCTCTGCCTTTCAAATAAATCTTTCAAAGAAGTCTTCAGTTGTATATTTTATAGTAGCTAGATGCAAGTATAGAATTATTCCATTTATAGTCTGTGCTGATTTGGTTATGGTTTGCGTGTGGTCCCCAAAGACTTATATGCTGGTAATTTGGTTCCCAGTGTGTTAGCTCTGGTGGAAATCTTCAAGAGGTGGGAGTCACAGCCCTTAGAAGGCATTCATGCTGGCCTTGTGGTTAGTTCTCACAAAAATGCATTTTCACAAAGTGAGACCACCCCAAGTGCCTGGCATCTTCTGTACACAGCTAGTTCCCTTTCAATTTTTCTGCCATATTATGATATAGCCAGGGGATCCTTGCCATGTTCTTGAACTAAGGTATTTTTTATAGCAACACAAAATAGAGTAAGGCAGTCTATTATCATCTTTTCCAACAGAGGAAAGTCAAGCACCAAAATGCATAGAAAGATGACAAAGGCAAAATCAAGAATTATGATGATACTTCAGGGGTGCAGCGGGTTGGTATCCCACATGGGCGCCGTTCAAATCCTGGCTGCTCCCCTTCCAATCCAGCTCTCTGCTATGGCCTGGGGAAAGCAGAAGATGGTCCAAGTCCTTAGGCCCCTTACCACGTAGGATACCCCAAAGAAGCTCCTGGCTCCTGGCTTTGGATCGGCTCAGCCCCGGATGTTATGGCCATTTGGGAAGTGAAACAGTGGAAGGAAGACCTGCCTCTCTCTCTGCCTCTCAAATAAATAAATAAATCTAAAAAAAAAAAAAAAAAAACCACAAAAAACGAATTATAAAGCTATTTCAGGGACCAGCACTGTGGTATAGGGGGTTAAGTCACCACTTGCAACACTGGGGACACATATAAGAGTGCCTGTGCCTCATTCTAGATCAGCTCCCTACTAATGTGCTTGAGCCCATGTGGAAGGCCCAGACAGAATTCTGGGCTTCTGGCTTCAGCCTGGATGAACCCTGGCTCCTGCAGCCATTTGGAGAGTGAACCAGCTGATAGAAGATCTGTCAGTCTACCTTTCAAATAAATAAATCTTTAAAAATATATTGTGAAATACTTCTTCATGATAGAGGAGAAAGTCTAGACTTCAACATTCATGAAATACTCAGATAAACAGACTGAATAAATACAAAGACAACTCGGCCGGCACCGCGGCTCAATAGGCTAATCCTCCGCCTTGTGGCGCCGGCTCCCGGGGTTCTAGTCCCGGTCGGGGCGCCGGATTCTGTCCCGGTTGCCTCTCTTCCAGGCCAGCTCTCTGCTGTGGCCCGGGAAGGCAGTGGAGGATGGCCCAAGTGCTTGGGCCCTGCACCCCATGGGAGACCAGGAGAAGCACCTGGCTCCTGCCTTTGGATCAGTGCGCTGTGCCGGCTGCAGCGCGCCGGCCGCGGCGGCCATTGGAGGGTGAACCAACGGCAAAGGAAGACCTCTCTCTCTGTCTCTCTATCCACTCTGCCTGTCAAAAACAAACAAACAAAAGACAACTCTCTAAATACTAGCTTACCAATGCTAAACTAAGTTGAATGTGATTGGTATTAGAAAGAAGAAAAACAGAACTTACTCTTTAATGAAGTGTTTAATAAGCTACCATTTTCTTACATGTACACTAGTATCTTATAAAGACAAATATTCACTGCCAAAAGTTAAATACTGTACAATTTATGAAAAATATAATTTTAAGAACTTGCAAATGGATTAAATAAGTCCATTTTTAAAGAAATTTAACCAGAAAATGGAAAAATTCCTAATCTAAGTGAACTCTATTTTCTAGGACACATACTCTTGAAGAAGAGGGACATGTTTCTTTAATCTTTATAGCTCCAGGTTCCTAAGATAATGGTTGGCCCAAAGCAAAAATGCTTAAGCAACATTTATTGTTTTGAACTGAATTGGGGCTAATTTTCATTCCTACTTTTGGTGCAGGTTTCACCAAATATTAAGAATTGATTTGGAGTACCTGAGCTGCTCCTACTTACCGGCCTTTTGTACCTTAAATTGAGTAAGGTAAGATGATATGCAAATACTTTCCACATTAGTCTTCTGACAGGATCCTCAGAATCAGCCACTGTCTGAATTTTCTTTTATGTGGTCTGATTCTTGTTTCTTGGATAACAGTTAATATTAGTATGCAAAGTAATGCATTTTCAATGAAAGGTAAATATGTGCATATGAGTAAGAATGAAATAAAGCCTTGCTTCCATGTTTTAAATAAGATACATAGCATCTTAAATTATGATATAATTATCAATTTTTAGACACTGAACATAATACACTGTATTACAATACAATGTGGTAGGCTCCATTTTAGGAACAAAGATAAGTTTCTCTTAAAAAAAGATTTATTTTAATTCACATAAAATACATTTAGAATAAATCTAAATTTTTAGCATCAAAATAGTCAGAAACACATACAGAGAATCTTTAAGATGTATTGTCTCCATTCTGTCCAAAAAGTGTACGTAAGAAGTTCTTTTACAATTACTGATCATCACCTCGTTGCCTTAAATTTCTAGATTTTCCATTTTCAATTCTTCTCTTTTTGAAAACGGGGGCGACACCGTCTGCAACAACTCCAAGAGAAGTGACGGTTTTTTCTTTAAATACCACTTTTGATTCCCCACCATCACCTTCTGAAGTTGATATATACTCATTTTCAGTGCTTGGAAGTTCCAAATCTACCTCCTCACTGGAAGAGAAAGTTAAAATTAAACCATTATTTGACAGATTATGTTTTCATATAACCTATGAATCCACCAAAGCCCCAAGTTCACTTTTCTAATGATAATAATAGTGAGAAGTTAGAAGTTGGTCATTTTGGAGCACAAAACTATCCTGAAACGCTGATTTTACACAGTATTTAACATAATAAGGAATTACCAAAGTGGACATGTGTCATGAAAAGTGTCATGTACTCCTATTTCTGTGGCACAAAAGATGATGCATCATCTTTGAAAATGCTGTGCTTGACACTCATATATGATAAGCAGCACAAGGATAATGAAATAGATCCCTTTCTCACATTCTGTTAATATTCTAAGTATTTATCTGGAGAAAGAACAAAAACGGAGAACTTTAAGAAAAGTTAGAAGAAAATTACAAAAATAAAAGTAGAAATGAAGAAACAAACTTAAAAAATGAAAGTAAATTTAAAAAGTAATTTAAAAAAGACAAATTCAAGCACTGGTTCATGAGAAAAAAATCCATTAGAAAATATCATTAAAAAGAAAAAAGTGAGATTTCACCAAAACTTGTGGAAAGTGTAAATTTACAAAAGTTTAATTATGATACTAATAGTTATACTGAATGTCTAACTATGTGCCAGATACTGCAGTAGGTACTTAGAGCAGAAATATTCTCTTTTTAATTTTGGTTCTAATGTTTCATTCCCTTCCTTTCTTAAGGTTTACTTGAAAGGCAGAGTTACACACACACACACACACACACGCACAGAAAAAGAGAGAGAGAGAGAGAGAGAGAGAGAGAGATATTGATTGATTTTCCATCCACCGATTAACTCTCTGAATGACCGCAGCTATGCCAGGTTGAAGCCAGGAGTCTTGAACTCCACTGAGGTCTCCTAAGTGGGTAGCAGGGGCCCAAGCACTCCGGCCATCTTCTGCTCCTTTCCTAGATGTATTAGCAGGGAACTGTATTGGAAGTGGAGTAGCAGGTATTCAAACCAGTTCCCATATACGGGTGTCAGCATTGCAGGAGGAGGTTTAATCCACTTTGCTACAACCAGACCCTCATTCCCCTTCTAGCCCTAGAACTCCCACTGGTATTTTTTTCCTTTGGGTAATACTTTTCCTCTCTTTGTAGTCCCGAGTTTTTTAAAAATTTTATTTAATTGAAAGACAGAGTTACAGAGAGAGGTAGAGACAGACAGAGGTCTTACATCCACTGGTTCACTATCCAAATGGTTGCAACAGCCAGAGCTGAGCCAATCAGAAGCCAAGAATCAGGAGACTCCTCCAAGTCTCTCACATGAGTGCAAGGGTACAAGGACTTGGGCCATCCTCTGCTGCTTTTCCAGGTGCATCATATGATATGGCACCCGTATGAGATGCTGGTGCTGCAAGCTGGGGCTTTAACCTGCTGTGCCACAGAGCCAGTCCCTAAAGTCCTGAGTTTTTTTTTTTTTTTTTTTTAAAGATTTATTTATTTATTTGAAAGTCAGAGTTACACAGAGAGAGGAGAGGCAGAGAGAGAGGGAGGGGGAAGGGGGAGGGGGAGGAGGAGAGGGAGGGGGAGGGAGGGAGAGGGAGAGAGGGAGAGAGGGGGAGAGGGGGAGGGAGGGGGAGAGAGGGAGGGGGAGAGGGGGAGGGGGGAGAGAGGGAGAGAGGGAGAGAGGGAGAGAGGGAGAGAGGGAGAGAGGGAGAGAGGGAGAGAGGGGGAGAGGGGGAGAGGGAGAGAGAGAGGGAGAGAGGGAGAGAGGGAGAGAGGGGGAGAGGGGGAGAGGGAGGGGGAGAGGGAGGGGGAGAGAGAGGGAGGGGGAGAGAGAGAGAGAGAGGGAGGTCTTCCATCTGCTGGTTCACTCCCCAATTGGCTGTAACAGGCGGAGCTGTGCCAATCCAAAGCCAGGAGCTTTTTCCGGGTCTCCCCTGCGGGTGCAGGGGCCTAAGGACTTTGCCAAATTAGGATATAATTAAAAGCTCATAATTAACACTGGGGAAGTCCAACAGGATGGACACTTTCAGATACTGCAGATAGAGTATATAAATTGTTATGCTCTTTCTACAAAATCACTGGGCTCTGTGCATCAAGATTTAAAAATGCTCATAACCTTTAGACAGGCATTTTATTTGCAGAAATAGTCAGAAATGTACAGAGAAACATATCCATATAATAAAGTTTGTTAAGAAAAAATGATGTAAATATCCAATAAAAAAGGGATGGCTGAGTATAATCAAGTACATCTGAATGATGAAATATAAATCAATGAAAATGTTTATAAATTTATCTTAATTTTCAAGAATTTACTAAGTAATGCTTATTTTTTTAGGGCTGGCATTGTGGTATAGCAGGTAAAGCTGCTATCTTCAGTGCCAGCATCCCATATGGGTGCCGGTTCGTGTCCAAGCTGCTCCACTTCTGATCCAGCTCTCTGCTATGGCCTGGGAAAGCAGTGGAAAATGGCCAAGTCCTTGGGCTCTTTGCACCCGTGTGGGAGACCAAGAAGAAGCTCCTGGCTCCTGGCTGGGGATGGGTGCAGCTCTGGCCATTGTGGCCAATTAGGGAGTGAACTAGTGGATAGAAGACCTCTCTCTCTCCCTCTCTTTGCCTCTGCCTCTCTGTAACTTATTTGTTCTTCTTTGGATTCATTGATTTTTCAGACAGGCAGAGTGGACAGTGAGAGAGAGAGAGACAGAGAGAAAGGTCCTCCTTTGCCATTGGTTCACCCTCCAATGGCTGCCGCAGCCGGCGCGCTGCGGCTGGCGTGTAACTCTGTCTTATAAATAAATAAATAAATCTAAAAAAAAAGTAATGCTTATTTTTAAGTGAGGAGGCTCTAGTAAGAAATTAGGCTAATCTACTTATGAAGTTAGACATAATATTACATATTAAACTGGCTGATTAGGTTAAAGTGAACAGGAATGACTTTACAGTACATTCATTAAAAGATAACAAATTACTGTTGATAAGTTTAAGAAACTTCATCTTTGAAGTGCAGGAGATGTTGGCATAGAACAATCATCTTCCTATCTTAAGTCATTTAAGAAATCACTTAGATGTCAGTGCTGCGACACAGCAAGTTAAGTCACTACCTAAAATGCTGGTATCCCATATGAGTGCCAGTTTGACCTGTGTCTGCTCTGCTTCTGATCCAGCGGGTTGCTAATGTGCCTGGGAAGACAGCAGAAGATGGCCCAAGTGTCTGGGCCCCTCTTATACATGTGGGAGGCTGGCTTTGGCTTGGTCCAGCCCCAGTTGTTGTGGCCATTTGGGGATTCAACTAATGGATGGAAGGTCTCTCTCCTTTTCTCTGTCTCTCCCACTAATTCAGTCTTTCAAATGAAAATAAATCTTTAAAAAAAAAAAATCACTTCAGGGCTGATGTAGGGGGCAGTTTATTTTTGTAACCTCAATATACAATCAATATGGTTGTAATAATATCTGACATTCTGTGGTTATATATTTCCTAGTATTTCATTAAGAAATATACCAAGCTAGTCTCACGGAACCGTAGGTTAAGCCCTCCACTGTGATACCAGCAGCCTACAATGGTAAGCCTGTTCAAGTCCTGGCTGCCCCACTTCCAATCCAGCATTCTGCTGGTGCACCTGGGCAGGCCGTAGGAGATGGCCCAAGTGCTTGGGTTCCTGCTACCCATGTAGGAAACCCAAATGGAGTTCCTGGCTTCCAGCTGCAGCCTGGACCAGTCGGGGCCATTGTGGCTATTTGGAGAGTAAACCAGAGGCTGGAAGGGGCTCCCAACCCCAGTCTCAACCTCTGCCACTCTGCCTTTCAAATAAATAACATAAATCTAAAAAAAAAAAAAAAAAAACCCACAAAACACTAAAAAAAAAAAAAACCTGGGAGGGGGTACAGTGTTGTGGCATAGCACCTATAAAGCTGCTGCCTAAGATGTGGGCATCCCATATGGGTGCCAGTTCGAGTCTTGGCTGCTCCACTTCTGATCCAGCTCCATGCTAATGTGCTTGAGAAAGCAGTGAAAGATGGCCCATCTGCTTGGGCCCCAGCACCCACATGAGAGACCTGGGAAGAAGCTCCTGGCTTCAGCCTGGCCCAGCCTCAACCCCAGCCCCTGTAGCCATCTGGGAAGTGAACAGCAGATGGAAGACCTCTCTCTGTCTCTCCTTCTCTCTCTCTAACTCTACCATTCTCTTACATTTAGAACTATTTAATTAGGAAAAATAAAAAACACTCCTGAAATGAAAGAAATGAGAAAAATAGTATGGAAGTTTTTCAAATAATTAAAAATAGAATTATATAATTCAGCAACCCTACTATTGGTATATTTGAAGGAAATGAAATCAATATGTCATAGAGACCTCTACACTCCCAGATCTGTTGCTAGTTAAGACATGAAAATGTGGGGGGCTGGCGCTGTGGTGCAGCAGGTTAAAGCACTGGCCCGACGTGCCGGCTCCTCTTCCCATCCAGCTCTCTGCTATGGCCTGGGAAAGCAGTAGAGGATGGCCCAAGTCCTTGGGCCCCTGCACCCACGTGGGAGAACTGGAGGAAGCTCCTGGCTCCTGGATTCGGTTCGGTGCAGCTCCAGCCTTTGTGGCCATATGGGGGGTGGGTCAGCAGATGGAAGACCTCTCTCTCTCTCTCTCTACCTCTCTCTGTAACTCTTTCAAATAAATAAATCTTTAAAAAAATAGATATGGGCCGGCGCCGCGGCTCACTAGGCTAATCCTCCGCCTAGCGGCGCCGGCACACCGGGTTCTACTCCCGGTCGGGGCGCCGGATTCTGTCCCGGTTGCCCCTCTTCCAGGCCAGCCCTCTGCTGTGGCCAGGGAAGGCAGTGGAGGATGGCCCAGGTGCTTGGGCCCTGCACCCCATGGGAGACCAGGAAAAGCACCTGGCTCCTGGCTCCTGGCTCCTGCCATCGGATCAGCGCGGTGCGCCGGCCGCAGCGCGCCGGCCGCGGCGGCCATTGGAGGGTGAACCAACGGCAAAGGAAGACCTTTCTCTCTGTCTCTCTCTCTCACTGTCCACTCTGCCTGTCAAAAAAAAAAAAAAAAAAAAAAGATATGAAAATGTGGCATAAATACTGGGGTTGGGAGCCCCTTCCAGCCTCTGGTTTACTCTCCAAATAGCCACAATGGCCCCGACTGGTCCAGGCTGCAGCTGGAAGCCAGGAACTCCATCTGGGTTTCCTACATGGGTAGCAGGAACCCAAGCACTTGGGCCATCTCCTACGGCCTGCCCAGGTGCACCAGCAGAATGCTGGATTGGAAGTGGGGCAGCCAGGACTTGAACAGGCTTACCATTGTAGGCTGCTGGTATCACAGTGGAGGGCTTAACCTACGGTTCCGTGAATGATAAAATCCTGTCATTTGTGACAACAAGGAGGACCTTTAGAATTAAGAGAAATAAGCCAGGCATAGAAAGACAAGTACCACACAATCTCACTCACAAGTAGAATCTAAAAAAGTTGATCATTAACAGTTGAAACTAGTTGAAAACAGTTGAAAAAAGGTTACCAGAGGCTGGGAAGAGTAGAGAAAAGGGGAGATGGGTAGAGGTTTGTCAGCTGGTACAACATTATAGTTAGGAAATTAAGTTATGATGTTCTATCATATATTAACATAACCCAGTTAATAATGCATTATGTATTTTAAAATAGCTAGAAGAGAGGTTTTTGAATGTTTTCCCTAGAAATGAAAAATATTTAAAGCAATGGGTATGCTAAATAGCCAGATTTGATCACTACACAGTATTTGAGGGTACTTCAAAAGATTCATGGGAAAATAGAACTAAAAGGTAAGTTTGGGTGCAAAAGTCTTCCTTCTGTTGGTTCACTCCCCAAATGGCTGCTACTACCTGCACTGCACCGATCCGAAGCCAGGAGCCGGGCGCTTCCTCTTGGTCTCCCATGTGGGTCTGGGGACCCAAGGACTTGGGCCATCCTCCGCTGCCCTCCCGGGCCACAGCAGAGAGCTGGACTGGAAGAGGAGCAACCGGGACTAGAACCTGGGGTGCCAGTGTTACAGGCGGAGGATTAGCCAAGTGAGCCATGGGGCCGGCCCCATACCTAGTTTTTAAATAATTTGCATTTTATGAGCTTTTTGAAGACCCCATGTTTGTATGAATTCAAACACTGCACCAGGAGCCAATGCAATGGCGCAGCAGATTAAGTCCCCACCTGGAGTGCCAGCATCCCCAACAGGATGCCAGTTTGAGTCCTGGATGCTCCATTTCCTGATCCATTCACTCTCTGGTAATGGTCTGGGAAAGCAATACAAGATGGCCCAAGTGCTTGGACCCCTGCATCCATGTGGGAGACTCGGAAGCAGCTCCTGGCTTCAGATTGGTCCCAATCTGGCTGTTGTGGCCATTTGGTGAGTATACCAGCGGAGGGAAGCTCTCTTTCTGTCTCTCCCTCTCTGCCTGTAACTCTGCCCCTCAAATAAATAAACAGATCATTTTTTTAAAAAAAAGATTTATTCTATTTATTTGAAAGGCAGAGTTACAGAGAGAGAGGTCTTCCATCTGCTGGTTCACTCCCCAGATGCCCACAACGGCCAGAGCTGCGCCAATCCGAAGCCAGGAGGCAGCAGCTTCCTCCAGGTCTCCCACATGAGTGCAGGGGCCCAAGGACTTGGGCCATCTTCTACTGCTTTCCCAGGCCATAGCAGAGAGCTGGATCAGAAGAGGAGCAGCCAGGACTAGAACCGGCGCCCATATGGGGAGCCGGCACTTCAGGCCAGGGTGTTAACCCACTGCGGCACAGTGCTGGCCCCATAAACAGATCTTTAAAAAAAACTGCACCTCATAAATATGTACATTATACATCAATCAAAAATAATAGTAAAAAGTAAAGAAATGAGCTATACTTTTAATGAACACAACATCTTTGAAATTTATAGAAATGCTGGGATGTCAAATACTTGTTGTAATAATGATGGGATTAAAATTTAGGTACTTACTTAGACTTGACTTCTTGTTTAATTTCTTGCCATTCTCCATAAGGATTTGGTTTTTTATGTACTTTGGGTTTTTCTTCATTTGGAACTGATGAATTTTGTTTTGGTATGTTTTTTTCTTTCTGTGTTTCTGGTTTAGTTCCTTCATTCTTTTTATTTTTTTCCTGAGGTGTAAAAGTCTTTTTATTTTTTTCCTGAGATATAAAAGATGTAAAGCAAAATTAGCAGGAAAAAAAACCCCAAAATTTCTTTAGGTTTTTAAAAAGTCTTCTTATAGATTTATAAATAATAATATATGAACTCAATAATTTAATTTGCACCTAACACAATAAACTGACAGAAGAACTTTAATGCTTGACTAGTTTATTGTTGTGTAAAATGTTTAATGCACCATTATGTAACTGATCTCATGAATGTCATGAGTTCTACAATTAAGGACTTATCAATAGGCTGTTTTTATTCTTCCCTTTCTTCTGCTTTCTTACCTTAGAGATCCAATAGTGACCACCCTTTTTACTATATCCTCTCTGAATTAATACCATGTTAGAGCAACTCATTCTTAGAAAATAATTTTGATTTAATTCTGAATGAGGAAACTGAAGGTAAAAAGTATGACTCTTTTAATTTCCTCCCTCATACCAACTCATTTATAATCACATCTTTTTATAGAAAAAAAAAAACATTTATCTTCTTATGTGAGTTTGTTTCTTGTTCAAAACCAACCTGTTTCTTTTTTGTTGGTATTTCCTATCTCCTCTGAAGTTCTTCTCAATGACTACCAGCAAAATCTCTCATGATTAAGTCAGTATCAAACCACCATCCTATCATCCCTTTCATCTCAGTTCTACCACTGAGAACTGTACAGAAACTTCTAGTAGGGCATCAAGGAATTTTGAAGTGCCAAATCCAATGGACTTAATTTGTTTTTTCCTTTTCTATACCTAATTAATCCATGATGCTCTCCATTCATTTGGCTTCTGGGACATTAGATTCTTCTCTCTGCATACTTTTCTTTTAAAACAGATTTATTTATTTATTTGAAAGGCAGAGTGACAGAGGGAGAGGGAGAGATCCTCCTTTGTCTGGTTCACTCCTCAAATGGCCACAACTGCTAGGGATGGGCCAGGCCAAAGTCAGGAGCCCAAACCCCATCTAGATATCCCATAAATAATGAAACAACATTCAAGAAATAATTTTTAAAGTACCCACTATGTGCTAGGTACTATGTGCAGGGGCCCAAGTACTTGGGCAATCTTCCACTGGTTTTCCAGGTGCATTAGCAGGGAGCTGGATCAGAAGCAGAGAAGCTGGGACTCAGGCTCTCTGAGCACTTCAATATGGGACGCAGATGTTGCGAGCTGCAGCTTAACCCACTGTGCCCCAACATCAGTCCCTCTCTGCATAGTCTTCTAACCATTCTTCCTCATTCTGCCTTGTGAGTGCTTCTTTGTCTGACTGCTACTTAGGTGTTTAATGTTTCTCAGGGCTTTTCAAAGTCATTTTCCAAAGTTATATCACCTTTTCAAAATTTAAACTTTTATCAGTATACTGATGATACTTAAATTACTATTTCTAGCCTAGACATGCAGATTGGCCTGTTCAGACAGCTCTTTGAATGTTACAAAGGCCTCTCAAACTGAGGTCCAATATAAACTCAGCATCTTGTGCCCAAATGGATATAAGTAAGTGGTACATCTGTTTTGCAATTGCCAAAATACAATAGTCCCCCTTTATCCTAGGGAGGTAACATTCCAAGACTCCCAACAGATGCTTGAAACTGCAGATAGTACTGAACCCAAATGTTTACTCACAGATACATACTTATAGAAAAGTTTAATTTATAAATTAGGCACAATTAGAGATTAACAACTAATATTAAAATAGAACAATTATAATGATATGCTGTAAAAAGAGTTTCTATCACATTATCCATAAAGTGACACACAATTTAAAACAAATTATATACTTCTGGAATTTTCTATTTAATATTTTAGGACTGTGGTTGACTGCAGGTAACTGAAGTTGCAGAGTGAAACTGCAGATATAAGGAAATTATTGTGTATGTCTTGGCTGTATTTCTGTCTCATACCAGATGTCTGAAGAGGTTTGCAGATCTTTTTATAAATAAACTTTTGTGAAGAATAAATAAGTCAAGAGCTTACCTTAAACTTTATTTTTAGCTTTGGTCTTTCTGTAGAGATGACTTCTTTTGCTTCCTGTTCCCCTTCAGAACCACTATGCGAATCTAATGATTTTGATTCTTCTAGGGCACCAAGTGACTTTTCATTGACTTTATCAGAAAGCACATTACCAGTGTGTGGAATGAAATCATCAGGTTTCTCCCATTTAGATTCTGCTCAATACATTTTAATAGTCATGTTGTTTAGTCACCAAATCTATTCAAAAACCATTCCAATATAACACTTCCCATCTCTTAAAACTGGCAATACTGCATCTGCTTCACACTACCATCTAATCAAGAAGACACAATAAAATTTCCAATCCTCTTGCTTCTTAAATCTTTCAGAAACTTATTTCCCACAACCTAGATTTATCATATGCATAAATTACAACTCCAGTAGAAAGAGATCTAAGAACTTGGTGATACTTACATCAGCTTGACACCAATTTCAGGAAATATAACGAGAGTGAACATACTTGATAGTTCTTGAAATTTACTTACAAAAAAGATTTACTGGAATTTTCACAAAATAAAATTAGATTGTGAAAATCTGAATGAGTACAATTCGTCGTTTTTATAGTTGAAAAAAAAAACCACATCCAACTGATTGAATTGTACTGCCATCTAGTGGTTCATTATACTTTTAGTAAAATAACCGCATATCTAATTATCTTTCAGTTATTCTCTATTTTTAGTTTAATAAAAGGGAGATAGGCTATATAATTTACTGTCCAGCTAGAACAGTTTTAACAGTGAAAGCTGTTACTACTAATTACACTGGCCCAGTTATAAACTGAAATTATTCAGGGAAAATCAGTATGTATAGCCCTTTATTAATATATAGGATATGTTCTAACATAAATGAAAAACATTACCTTTCCATGTCTATATTTCCCGCAAATAATAAAACTTTCCCATAAATAATGAAACAGCATTCAAGAAATAATTTTTAAAGCACCCACTATGTGCTAGGTACTGTTCTGGGAGCTTTATAAAGACACCTGACCCTCATGACCCCAGAGAGAATACACATGATCTATTTTCTGGCTGAACAGCTATTAGGCTGTTACTAGTTCACAATCATGCACCAGAAAAGGGAGAAGTTGTGTATTGAGCTTAGATTTTCCTAACTACAAAGCTGTATTATATAACACTATGTTATTTATCTCTATAAATATTTAAAATTTTAATTTTACTAGGATAGAAACACTATAATTGGGCAGACTAGGCATCAACCTGGAGGTTAAAAGAGCCTTTTCCTCCTAAGAGATTTAATGCAGGCAGGAACTAGATGCAGCAGATAAAATGCTACTTGGGATACCTGCATCCCATGCCATGGTGCCTAGATTTGAGTTCCAGTTCTGCTTTGGATTCCAGCTTCCTGCTCATGTGTACACTGGGAGGCAGCAGGTAATGGCCCAGATATACTTGGACCCCTGCCACCCTTATGGGAGACAGAACTGAGTTCTGAGCCCTTGGCTTCAACCTGGCACAGCACCAGCAACTGCTGGCATCTGGGAAGTGATCAGTGGATAAAAAAATCTCTCTCTTTCCCTCTGCCTTTCAAATAGAATGAAAAACATTAAAAAAAAAAAGCCTCTCCCAAAGTTACATTATTATATAGCCATTCTGGTAAATTTGCCTATAGTAGAAACCAGTTTTATGAAATTACATAAAATATTAACTTGTACACTTTAGGTAATCATTAATTACACACACTTTATAAAGATTTTTCTAAGTGAAATATTAAATTAGTAAAATTGAAATTTGATAATTTCAGCCACTGCTAACAGCTACAGGCTCTTTTTTTTTTTTTTTTTAAGAGTTATTTATTTGAAAGGCAAAGTTACAGAGAGGCCTCCATCTGAATCCAGGTGCTTCTTGCAAGTCTCCCACGGGGGTACAGGGGCCCAAGTTCTTGGGCCATCTTCTACTCCTTTCCCAGACCACAGCAGAGAGCTGGATCGGAAGTAGAACGGCCAGGACTTGAAACAGCTTTACCTGCTATGCCCTGCAGGCTTTTTTTCAAAAAGGAAAAGTCAAGTTGAACTAGGTGACTGTAAGATACCTTCCAAGGAAATAATCACTAAAATAATCATGATAAAAACCAGTAAAATGTTAAAGTCAAAATGATTAAAGTTAAATGACTTTTTAATTTGTGAAAACAACACCAACTATAAATAACATTAATGTGTAGCATAATTTATTATAGAAATCGTTTTGCTTTTCCACTGTATTAATGTATGTAAACTATGAAAACTAATACATGTTTGCTACAGAACTGTTAATCATATCTGAAATTTCCATGTTCAGATGATTCATTAGTAAGCTAATCAGTTTCAGCTAAAATTTTAGATAGTTAAGATAATCAAAGGTAACACTTACCTCCTGTTTCTGTATTATAATAATAGTTATAACCATCTTCACTTAAACCTTCTACCCAAATGGTCTTCCCTCCTGTCTAATGAGAAGAAAAAAAACCAGCATAAACTGAAGATAACAAGTATAACTGAGTAACTAAGCAGAGTCAGCTACCCTTCCCTTTCCACTTGACACCTGGGAATTAGGGGTGATGATATGGCTAGGAAGCTTGGTTTCTTCTAATCATGCACCAAGTTTCAAGGAGAGAATTTCTCACCTCTGAAAGCCAGGAAAAATTCTTTCCACATGAACAAGGACATGCGAATGGGAGTTTTTGGATAGATATCACCTTTCCACCTCCACCCTGCCTTCTAATGAAAGGATTACAGAAAGAAAGGGACAAAGTTGGCAGGGAAGACGATTATTTGGAAGTAACTTTGTTTAAAAAACTCTAAAACCATCCCAGAAGCCAATTAATTTAAACAAAACAAAACACTACAAATATGCTTCAGTTACCTTTTTTATGCTTCCTTGAAATCCTTCAGGTTTCTCCCACTGAGATGCTTAAAGCAAAATATATTGCATTTGTAAAATCTTTTTGATTAAAAAAAATTTTTCAAAGACATTCATTGTGTACAAAATACTATATCGTTTAAAACACAACTGAAAAATAACAAAGAAACAATATACATCTCAATAGTACTCTGCAGAGAATACATGTGAGTGCCCTAAGTATCAGATATCACTAGAACTTCCAAAGGAATTATTAGAGGTAAGTAAGACTGGCTGCCCTTAAAAGACTTCCCAGACTTTAGGCTGGTGAGTTCTGAAGGAAGGAGATGGCTTTTAGACATTCCTGTCCAAGAGACAGTGAGATATGGAACAGATAATGACTCAGAAAAGAAACAAGATGAAGTATGGAGGAATTAAAAACAAGTATTGCTGGGGCTGGCGCTGTGGTGCAGTGGGTTAATTGCCCTGGCCTGAAGCGCCGGCATCCCATATGGGCGCCAGCGCTAGTGCCGGCTGCTCCTCTTCCAATCATAGCTCTCTGCTATGGCCTGGGATAGCAGAAGATGGTCCAAGTCCTTGGGCCCCTGCACCCACATGGGAGACCCGGAAGAAGCTCCTGGCTTCGGATCGGCACAGTCGTTGCCAACTGGGGAGTGAACCAGCGGATGGAAGACCTCTCTATCTCTACTTCTCTCTAACTCTGTCTTTCACGTAAATAAAATAAATCTTTAAAAAAAATATTACTGAGACAAAGATGGTGAAGAAAGAAAACAATAAGCCCCATATGGGAGAAAATAAATTAATAGTTTCTAAATAAATTTGAGGAAGATTTTTTTTTTTTTTTACAGGCAGAGTGGACAGTGAGAGAGAGAGACAGAGAGAAAGGTCTTCCTTTTGCCGTTGGTTCACCCTCCAATGGCCGCCGCGGCCGGCGCACCGCGCTGATCCGATGGCAGGAGCCAGGAGCCAGGTGCTTTTCCTGGTCTCCCATGGGGTGCAGGGCCCAAGCACCTGGGCCATCCTCCACTGCACTCCCTGGCCACAGCAGAGGGCTGGCCTGGAAGAGGGGCAACCGGGACAGAATCCGGCGCCCCGACCGGGACTAGAACCCGGTGTGCCGGCGCCACTAGGCGGAGGATTAGCCTAGTGAGCCACGGCGCCGGCCGAGGAAGATTTCTAATCCCTAGGATATAACCACTGATCTTCACTGCCAGCTACAATATGCACTTCAGTTAATGGCTGAGTGGAAACTCTGATACTACTTTTTTTTCTTTTTTTAAAATTTATTTATTTATTTGAAAAATAGAGCTACACAGAGACAAGGAGAGGCAGAGAAAAGTCTTCCATCCACTAGTTTACTCCCTAGTTGGCAACAGCTGGAGCTGTGCCGATCCAAAGCCAGAAGCCAGGAGCTTCCTCTGGGTCTCCTAGGCGGGTGCTGGGACCCAAGCACTTGGGCCATCTTCTTCTGCTTTCCCAGGCCATAGAAGATGGCCGGAACGGAAGTGAAGCAGCCAGGACTTGAATCGGTGCCCATATGGGATGCCAATACCGCAGGCAGCGGCTTTACCTGCTACACCACAGCACCGGCCAGAACTCTGATACTATTTCTAAAGATCTTAATTACAATAATTACAATGTTGTCAGTCCAAAGTTTTCTTCATGATTAACTCTGACTCTCCTACCTTCCCAATTATTCTTAACTTTTTGCTAGCTTTTCATTTTCTTTCATTTTTATTTTTTAAAAAATATTTACTGGGGCCATCATCGTGGCATAAAAGATGCCTGCAGTGCCAGCCAGCATCCCATATGGGTGCTGGTTCCAGTCCTGGCTGCTCCACTGCTGATCCAGCTCCCTGCTAATGGCCTAGGAAAGCAGTAGAGGACAGCCCAAGTGTTTGGGCATCTGCCACCTAGGTGGGAGACCTGTGGATATAATAATTTCAAGGATTCTCTACCATTTGTGAAGTACATTTGAAAAACCTCTAATGTTTTATTTTCATATAGTTCATATAGTATATGACAATAAGCTATAACTTATTTGTAATGAATTATTAAGACTTTGACTAAGCATAATAATGAATCACTATGAGAAGGCTATCTTTTTATAGGACACATAATTTTTATGACAAAAATGAAAGTTATCGTCTTTAATTGTTTAAATGTTGTAACATTTAAAAAAAAATCTTAACACAAAATAAACTTCAATTCTGTTAGTAGAATTATTCCCTACTATTTATAAGCCTCAATGACTTACCCCCTGTGATAAGATCATAATAATAATGGTAACCCTCAGATGTTACACCTTCTACCCATCTTCCCTTTGAAGGATCTTTTTTCTTCTTCTTTTTTTCTTTCTGTTGATTTGATGCAGGGGCGGGTGGGGCAGTGCTCGTTACCGGGGATACACTTGGCTCTGAAATTTCTAGAGAAGAAAAGAGACAAGGGTGAAGCAGCAAAGGTAACTTTATTATTACTATTATTTCTGCTGGCATAAAATATTAATAATGTTGGGAGCGGGCACCGTGGCATAGCAGGTAAAGCCGTTGCCTGGAGCACTAGCAACCCATATGGGCACCGGTTTGAGTCCCAGCTGCTCCAGTTCTGATCCAGTTCTCTGCTATGGCATGGGAAAGTAGTAGAAGATGGCCCAAGTGCTTGGGCTCCTGCACCCCCGCGAGAGACCCGAAAGAAGCTCCTGGCTCCTGGCTTCTGATTGGCCCAGCTCTGACTATTACAGCCATTTGGGGAGTGAACCAGCAGCTGGAAGACTTCTCTCTCTCTCTCTTTCTCTCTGCCTCTGCCTCTAACTCTGCCTTTCAAATAAAGAAATCTTTAAAAAAATTAATAACGTTATTCTCATCAAAAGCCTGACAAATTCTTTGGGGAAGCTGACACATTATTATTATTTGCAAAAATAAGCATGGAAGAATAAACAGAAAAATTTAAAAAAGGTGATAAGGGGAACTTAGTTCTACCAAGGATTAAAAGTTAATATAAAATTACGGTTAAAACACTGAGCTGGGTAGAACTGATGCAGGAATAACAAACACATGCCTAAGTCCAGATACACAGCCTACTGCAGAATCCCCGTGTTTTTTTCTTTTTTTAATTTTTGTTTTTTAAGATTTATTTATTTGAAAGGCAGAGTTACAGAGAGCCAGAGGCAGAGAGAGGGAGGAGTCTTCCATCTGCTGGTTCACTCACCAAATGGCTGCAATGGCCAGAGCTGCGCTGATGCGAGGCTGAGAGCCTAGAGCTTCTTCCGTTTCTGCCACAAGGTGCAGGGGCCCAAGGACTTGGGCCATCTGCCACTGCTTTCCCAGCTCACAGCAGAGAGCCAGGACTTGAACTGGTGCCCATCTGGGATGCTGGTACTGCATGCAGTGGTTTTATACGCGTACTACACCACAGCACCTGCCCCCTGAGTGTTTTTTTATTAGAGGGAAAAAGATCCTTGAACAAAAGAGATTAGAGTAACTGGTTAATTATTCAGAAAAAAGGTAATTAAATATCATTCCCTGCTTCTTCCCCATTTCTTTTCTTTGGTTTTTTTTTTTTGTTTAAATTTAATTCTAATTTTGACAGGCAGAGTTAGACAGTAAGAGGGAGAGACAGAGAAAAAGGAAAGGTCTTCCTTCTGTTGGTTCACCCCCCCAAAATGGCCACTACGGCCGGGCGCTGCACCGATCTGAAGCCAGGAGCCAGGTGCCTCTTCCTGGTCTCCCATGCAAGTGCAGGGCCCAAGCACTTGGGCCATCCTTCACTGCCCTCCTGGGCCACAGCAGAGAGCTGGACCAGAAGAGGAGCAACCAGGACTAGAACCCGGCACCCAGATGGGATGCCGGTGCTGCAGGCGGAGGATTAGCCACGTGAGCTATGGCATCGGCCCCTTCCCCATTTCTTTACACAAATATAAATACAAGATCAAAAATAGCTATAAAAAGGACAAAGTGAAACAATGTTTAATTTAAGTACCTAAGAATTTAAATCTTCTGTATAGAAAAAAAAATACCAGCTCCTGCAGTATTCTTTTTAGTAGTAGAAAAGCTCTAAGCAATTCACTTTAATGAGGAAGAGGTTAAATTAAGTTATGCTTTATAGACAAAATAATGATGGTTCCCCATTACTAGACACTTGTTATGGGTGGTCACTGTAATAAGCAAATTATTCCAGCATGTTACCTAATTTTAGCAAAAATCTGAGGTTATTGGTGCCAGCTTTGTGGCATAGCAGGTTATGCCGCCGCCTTAATGCCAGCATCCCTTATGGGTACTGTTTGTGTCCAGGCTGCTCCATTTCCAATCCAGCTCCTTGCTAATGTGCCTGGGAAAGCAGATTGATGGCCCAAGTGCCTGAGCCTCTGTACCCATGTGGGAGGCCTAGAAGAAGCTCCTGGCTACTGGCTTTGGCCTGCTGAGATCACCCGGGGAGTGAACTTGCAGTTGGAGGTATCGCTTTCTCTCTAACTCTGCCTTTCAAATAAATAAATAAATATATTAAAAAAAAAACTAAGATCATAAAACCAGTGAGAGGCAATTCTATTTGACCTCAGAGTCTGTGTTCCTAACCACTCTGAAGCCACTAAAAATAATGTATATTCTTAATTATTTAAAAGAAAAGATTTAGCTGACGTATCACTGAGGGGGGAAAAAAAAAAACTATCCCTGGATAGACAATAGCACAAAAAAAAAAAAAAAAAAAAATCATGAATTCTAGGGGCCGGCACTATGACATAGTGGATAAAGCTGCCACCTGCAGTGCCGGCATCCATATGGATGCCAGTTTGAGCACCCCCGCCTTCTCTCTGACTCTACCTCTGCCTCTAACTTTGCCTTTCAAATACATAAATAAATCTTTAAAAAAAAGTTCTAAAGATTTCTGAAAAAACTTAATGGTATTGAGGTTTTTTTTTGTTTTTTGTTTTTTAAGATTTATTTATTTGAGAGGCAGAGTTACAACAGAGGGAGAGACAGAGAGAGAAGTCTTCTATCCACTGGTTTACTCCCCAAATGGTTACAATGTCCAGAGCTGGGCTGATCTGAAGTCAGGAGCCACAAGCTTTTTCTGAGTCTTCCACAAGCGTGCAGGTGCCCAAACACTTGGCTCATTTCCTGGGCCATTTAGCAGAGAGCTAGATTGGAAAATGAGCAGCCAGGACAGGAACCGGTGCACATATGAGATGCTGGCGCTATAGGGGGATGGTTACCCTTACTACACCACTGGCCCAGTTATTGAGTTTTTAAAAGGTCTATTCTTTGTACTGCATTGCTTCACTTTTAAAGAAATACATATTCTGGGGGCTAGGGGCTGGCTCTGTGGCACAGCAGGTTAAAGTCCTGGTCTGAAGCACCAGCATACCATATGGGTGCCGGTTCTAGTCCTGGCTGCTCCTCTTCCAATCCAGCTTTCTGCTACGGCCCAAGTCCTTGGCCTCTGCAGCCATGTGGGAGACCTGGAAGAAGCTCTTGGCTTCAGATTGGTGCAGCTCCAGCCACTGCGCCCATCTGGGGAGTGAACCAGTGGATGGAAGACCTCTCTCTGTCTCGACCTCTCTCTGTAACTCTGTCTTTCAAATAAAAAAAAAAAAATATATATATATATATATTATATACACATTCTGTTCTGGAGAACAATGCTATGAAAAATATTCAACATTAAAATTCATTTATATATAAAATGCTAATATTTATTTGCTCAAAGGGTAATAAAATGGAATTTCTTAATCCATATAATTGATGAGATGAATTTTGAACCATTCTTTAATTCTCCAGAGTATTTGTATTTTTTTCTTCTCAAAATGAACAATATGGCTTCAACTTCATGGAACCAAACATCTTTCTTTCCCCCTTTTGACTACCACTGTCTAAAATACTATTTTAAAAGTCTGGCTATAACTATGCTTTTTTCGTAAAGGCAATGTCAATTATCCTGCTATTCTGTTCTAAAACTTTAACTGAAAGCTTCTAGGGCATTTAGCTTAGTGGTTAAGATGCCTACATCCAAAATCGGAATGTCTGGATTCCTTATCTGCCTTTGCTCCAGACTCCAGCCTCCTGCTAATTCACACCTTGGGAGGTGGGTAGTGGTGATGACTCAAGTGACTGGGTCCCTGCTACCCCTGTGGGGATACCTGGATTGAGTTCCCAGCTCCCAGCTTTGGCCCCAGTCAGATGCCACTGCAGGCATTCAGGCAGTGAACCAATGGATGGCAGCTTGCTCTATCTGTACAGCTCTCTTCCTCTTTCATTAAGATAATAATAATACCACTCCATCTTTACTTTTGCAAATGCTATGCAACATCACCAACTGAGATCTGCTAACTGCCCGGATTAAGGAGAATGGATGTGACATGGAAGAAATGTTCACAGAAGCTTCCTATTTTAAAGTCCAAATTCGGGCCGGCGCCGCGGCTTACTGGGCTAATCCTCCGCCTTGCAGCGCCGGCACTCCGGGTTCTAGTCCCGGTCGGGGCACCGGATTCTGTCCCAGTTGCCCCTCTTCCAGGCCAGCTCTCTGCTGTGGCCCGGGAGTGCAGTGGAGGATGGCCCAAGTGCTTGGGCCCTGCACCCCACGGGAGACCAGGAGAAGCACCTGGCTTCTGCCTTTGGATCAGCGTGGTGCGCTAGCCCCAGCGTGCCAGCCATGGCGGCCATTGGCGAGTGAACCAACGGCAAAGGAAGACCTTTCTCTCTGTCTCTCTCTCTATCCACTCTGCCTGTCAAAAAAAAAAAAAGTCCAAATTCAATTACAAGATACATTCAAGTTAAATAATGCCTTTTATCTAGAACTTTTTTATCTTCAGATCTTCAAAATATCTGCCTTCCAGATATAAAATCAGTTTACTTGTCCACAAAAGTTCACTTCACTATATATTCAACCATGTAAATAAACATGATTCATGATTTTGACGACAGGTAAAAAGTGAACTATAATCATAATGCAATATTTACTTCCTCACAAATAGTGTCTTTTAGCCACATAACTGGAATACCTAAAAAACTTAAGGTATCTTTGAAATTAACCACTCAGGTAGGACAGAGCTAGGAGGACTAGATAACCAAAAAGGTAATATGGTGGCTGCGAATGAGGATAGTAACACAAAAGTGTGTGAGCAAAATCCGATACTCTAAATAGGGCTATAACGCATAATCAAAGCGCTGAGAGTATACTCTGAGTGTAAAACTTTATGGAAACAATAAAAGGTCACTTAGCATGATCTCTGATGTTACTTTTAAAACATACAGTTGGCTTCTTTACCTGACTCCAAGCCAAGTCTTTTCAAATCCTCCTGGTATGCTTTCAGAGCAGCTGCCTCCATCGCAGCAAACTCTTTTGATGCCTTTTCTTCTTCTTTTGCCTTATCCAGGCTTTTCTGTTTAATCTATGTAAGATACACACAAAATTGAAAGTGAGATAAAGGACTGATTTTCCATAGAAAAATTGGCAAAGAAAAATCTAAATTACCTCACTGATCCTCTTTGCCACATTTTCCTTATGATTCTTCCCTCTTTCATGAAATTCAACACTCTTGGAAATAAAAAAAGAGAAAATGAACAAATAAAGTTCATAGTAATACAGTAAATATAGGAATAAAATATAAGAACGCAGAAATGAAAATTCTTGGCAGAAGAGATAAAAAGTGATTAATATTAATGCAAACTGATCCTTTTTCTCAAATGATGCTAGAGAACTGAACCACATTATTTGTTATCATGTCCTTTGACTATGTTTCCTTTGGTTCTTAAAATAAACTATGATGGCCACACCAATGGAGAAAAATACAAGGTACCCTTGATGACTAATGTAGTGGATATGATTGTAATGAAGACTCAAAGAAGACATGAGGCCAAAAGTGGAGTGGAAAAAAAATCTTAACACCTCTACTGAAACCAGTAAGTCCCTAGAATTTCAGTTCATCATATTAAGTTAGAAACAGAGAAAACAATGGTCTTAGAGCCTTCTTCCTCAGAACTGGAAAAAAGTAAGCATTTAAAAATTCCTCACAAATTCTAAACAAACACGTGTACACAAGGTGGTAATGGTGTGAAATGTACAACTTCTGTAGAGGACAATTTGGTGATATCTATTACAAATTTACAAAAGTACAAAATTACACATACACTGACCCTCTGACCCAACATTTCTGAGAAATTATTCCATAGATAAACCTGCATGTGTAGTAGAAAATGATGTTATATACAGGTAATTCATTGCAGTACTGTTTGAGCTAACAATCCAAGTGTCCTACAGAGGACTAGATAAACAAACTATGGTACATTCCCATATGCTGCTGTAATAGGAGCAAAGAAGCTCCCTCTAAGATGGAAAGAGTTTCATGAAACATAATTCAACTTTTAAAAATCAAGATGTAGAACAGCATGTATAGTTTGTTACCTTTAACATGTGCTGGACTAAAGAACCTATGCATGCAAACAGAAAAAAAATGGAAGGCTTGAAAGAAAATGAAAAGAATGCTAACCTAGGGAGAGTAATGGTAACTGGATGGATGGACAAGGATAGATAAGTGAACAATATTGTCTATTTAGACAACCAGAAGTGTTTCCTAAATTACAAGTGTCTAGTTGCATGCAGTAAGAAATTTCTGGTAAGCACTGCAAAATAAGTTCTGTCAATCAAAACTTATATGATGCATTAACTGGGCTGTTCTAAAATAGTGCTATGAATTCCTCTTTAAAGTATAACTTTCCAAAGCAAATCATCATCTTCTATCTTTCATATACTGGGTTTCCCAAAGTTGATTATACCACACAAAGAATGCTAAAGGAGCATTCAAAATTAAACTTTCCTTCTAATTAAAGGTTTAACCAACAAGTATTAGCAATTCAAGGGGATAAAGACAGACTACAGTGGAAGGGATTATTTGCTCTAGGTAATCATAAAATTCATTTTACTGCCTGGATACCTCAAAGGAAGACACTGTGAGCAATGTGTGTGATTTTAAAAATTTACGACATGTATTTACAAGGATGGTCTAAGTTAAACAAGATAGTTAAGAACTTCAGCAACATTCAAAAACGCCAAAACAAATCTCATAAACAATAATAAATAAAAATCTATTATGAAATACAGCATTGCTAAAGATGTGACTACTATTCTTTCATATTTCTAACTCTGCAGATAAGAATATGAATATGTATTTCACAGATATCCTAGTGTTTATGTAGTATGTGTAAAATACTATGACAAGCATGAGATGGAAAAAAAATCAATGATGTGCTTTTGCTTTGTCTTAAATGTTGGATCTAGATCCATATTTAGACGGTAACAGTAATAATGTATTTAACAGAAACGTTATTTTTAATTTCACAACAGTTGAGATTTCAAATTTAAGTTGTGCATCAAACATTTTTAGAGTGGGAAACATACAAGAAAAACATTATGTTGTTTTTATGTTTTAAAGGTTTCCCACTTTTATTTTTCTTCGTATATGACAATATTACAAACATCATCATAATGTGTTTCATAAAGATGGATAAGATTATCTGCTTCAAACAGAAATAATTTGGCTTTACAATCAAGTTTAGATTAATGAAAAGAATGCTCATAACTTTCACACGGGATGATAAGACAACAAAAATCTTTTGATATCTTTAGGAATCAAGAACAATGAATAGGAAAGTGCTTTGTAAACTCTAAACTTTGATCAAAAGCAACATTTCACATATATACAATATTACTCAAATCTCTTGAGGGTGAAATTATCATACAGGCCTATTGTCTGCTATCCAGCACTTGCAGTAATCACAGAACTTCTTTGGTTGTGACTTCCAGTAGTCTGCCCTGCAAAAGGAAAAACAAGTCGTAGCTGATTTGAAACTTAAAAAGGTCAAATTCTGCAAGCTTTATGTCTCTTTAGAGTATCCTATATAAGCCCTGCAACTCAATCATGTGATACAATTTTCCGTTTTATTATTTATCTAGATGAAGTAGTCAACTGAAATTCTGTTCACAGTACACTAGAAAATGCATGCACTGGATTTAAAACTCCTTCAATAATAAAACAGCTTTAAAACTTAAATTCCAGGTTTGTTACTATCACCGGTATGAGTAAACAGGAACATCTTGGAGGAAAAAATATTTATCCTAAAACTACTAGTCGAACAGCACTCTCTATTTTGTGCGGTTGTGTGGGTGCAGTCTGTTGAAATCTTTGCTTAGTATATACTAAGTTGATCTTCTGTATATAAAGATAATTGAAAATGAAACTGGATGAAGAGTGGGATGGGAGAGGGAGTGGGAGATGGGAGGACTGCCGGTGGGAGGGAGGCTGGGGGGGGGGAAGCCACAACAATGCAAAAGTTGCACTTTGTAAATTCACATTTATTAAATAAAAAAAATTATCCTTTCTGTTCCTTTCTTTTTTTGGGGGGGGGGTCGCTGTAAGGGAGGCCTGCAGAAACTCTCTATATAGAGTCTGCCTCAAATCCAGTTGTTTCCATCTTAAGGACTAAGCATGAAACTACCCTGGAGAAGGCTGGTTCCTCCGACACTGCCAGTTAATACATTTTGTTCTCGCGCCTCAGGGCCAGAGAGCTGGAAAAGCCAAGGTCCCTAAGGAGGCAGACAAGAAGTCCTGACGCTAGGAAGGCCGGCCGCTTCCAGAGGGCGGCGGAGGCAAAGCTTCACGACATGCTAGGGTTCAAGTGCCCCCCAAGGGCGGCCGCGACCCCCGCCGCCGCAGCCGGACGCCCCAAGGCGTCGCACCCCCAGCGGCCTCGCGGCCCACAGTCCGGGCCGCACGCCCCCTGGGCAGCACGGCTACCCCGCCCCGAGCAGCAGCCCCGCAGGTCTGGGGCCGGTCCCGAGCGAGTTAAGAGCGCGCTGTCACGCCCCCGGCCGAAGGGCGGGAGAGGGCGGCGGCGGCGGGGCGGGGGAGCCCCGCGGGAGACAGGGCCTCCCAGAGAAACAACGCCCCGTTGTTCAGGGCCTGAGAGCCAACTCACATGACTGCGCCCGCCGCTCCGCGCGTCGCCCCAGCTCCGACTCACACTCGCGCTCTTCCAGGCGGGGGCGAGTCGGGCCCCGGCCCGCCGCGAGGCCCACCCGAGCTTCCCTCCCGGCTAGGACACCTCCCTTCTCTCCCGGGACCGGCGTTCCACGGTTCCCAACTACGGGTGCCCGCACGACTCAATCCGCGATCGAAGTCGCCTGCTCTTCCCCTCCCCCTACAGGGGCGGTACTCCCGGCTCCGGAGAGGTGGGGTCTGTATAAAGGGGCTGAGGTCACCCAGAAGGGGCGAAAGCGCGACGGGACCTGAGCCGAAGGACAGGCCTCTCAAGCCTCAGGTCCCCGAGCCACCCCGCTTTCTTTCGCTCCTCCTCTGAGACCCAGACTCTCCACCCTCCTTCTAGGCTCGCTGGCTCGTGGCCAAGGAGCTCGCGCCTCGCCTCCGCCCCGCACGCAAACAGCTGTTCCCAGAGACGTCGCCGCCCTCAACTTGGCCAACTAGCCCGCACGCACTTTGACCAGCGGAGCAACCCGGACTTGCGGGCTAGGGGCTGTTGGCAGAGTTAGGAAAGAAAGGTGAAACCGCTGGTAGTGGGACCGCGAGTGGCTTGGGCTTCGTTCGCCTTAGAACTTTCCCGTGGCGGCAGAAAGCCCCGCCCCTCCCCCGCGACGCCCGCGCGCTCCGGGCGGCTCGTTCCTGCGCGTGGGCAGCGGCTGCCGCGGCGCGAGTGGCGCAGAGGCGGCGGCGGCGGCGGCGGCGGCGGCAGCGACGGCGGCCGTGAGCGTAGAGGCAGCGGCGGCGCTTACGCTTGTCAGGTGGGTTACGGTGGTTCCCTCATCAGCACTTCCCATATGGTCTAGCGGTTAGGATTCCTGGTTTTCACCCAGGCGGCCCGGGTTCGACTCCCGGTATGGGAATGTAGAATTTTTTTTCCTTTGGTTTTTCTTTTGAGAAGCTGTTTAGGAAACTGACTTATTTTACTTTGAATGGCTGTGTCTGTTTTCCTGTCCCGTGTGTAGATGAATTTGTGTTAGTTGCGCCGGGAGCTGAGCTACTACTTTGGGGGGCAGCGCGGGTCCTTGGAGGAACGAGTGCACTTGGGGTCCCTCTCCCGCCTCGGGCTCTTGAGGCTGCTAGATCCGAAGGGAGTTTCGCTTTCTCCGGGGCTGCTCCGCCGGCCCCGGGTCGCCGTATTTTTCCAGACGCCCGGGAGGTGATGATTAACCTCGGCCCCGCGTTATCTCCTCCCGGCGCCCCCTCGGCCCACACCCTGCTCGGCCGCCCCCTTCCGATCGGTCCCGGGACGCGCGGGGCGTGTTCGTCCCCTACCCCGGGAGTCCCCGAGCAGCCCGCGCCCTCGCTGGGAGCGCTCGGTGTCATCCGTGGGCTCCGTGTGGACGAGAGCCCCTCCCGACCACGGTGCGCCTCCCGCGGCTCCCGCGCACCGGGCACCCCCGCCGGCCGCGTGCGTGCCCGCGGCACCCCGTGCCGGGCCTGCCGAGTCCCTGGACTTGACACCGGGCGCTGGGCACAGGCTCAGAAGTGCCCCCGCCCCTAGAGAAGGCCTTGGGGGAAGGGAGGCTGTTCAATGTTTTTCCCTCTCCCCTGGAGAAACACTCGACGAGCTGCGGGGAAGGCAAATACCACTGTGATGAGACGTCTTTAAGGAAGAAAATGGACTTTCCAAAGGGGCCAACGTTTTGAGCGCCGCTAATTAAAAAATCCTGGTGTGGAGGTGGGGCTTGCAAGAGAAAATTGGCCGGAGACTGGGGAGGGGATGTTATAACAAAGTTGCACTGTGTTTTTAAATATAGAAGCCCTGTGTTTATTACAAAGACTGGGCAGCTGTGTCAGCAGCGTGAGCCGTAAATGAAACAAAAGCGTTATCTTAAATGCAGTTGAAATTAGAAAAATAGGGTCAGCTATAATGTTTAGTCTGTCGGGCCCCTGGGGACAAATGAAGAAGGAAAAAGTGACTCTTGCGGATGGGCTTCTGAGCGGTGCCATTATTAAGAGCAGAAGTTTCAGTGGTTAGTATGTGTTCCGACTGTTTTGTAGATTTAACTGCGTAATAGGTTTGAAGATCGTCCGTGAATGCGATTTGTGTAATGAGAAATTAATTACTATTTTAAATGCTGTTGATGCAAACATTCGAGCCCTTAACACGCCAGGCACTGCCATCTGCTTTTGAAGTTAACTGATGTTGGGTTCTTCACGTTAGTGGGTAGTGCATAGAATACTGGAAGGAATCATATCTTGAGACTGGTGATTAGCTGTGTGACCTTGTGCAGATCTTTCACCTTCTCTGCCCTCTGGCTTTAGGAAGAGCTACAATTCTTGATAAGGTATTACAGACCTCAGAGTGGCTAGAATCGTTGGGCAAATCATGGAAAGTAATGAAAGTGTAAAAGTTTCATTTCAATAAGGAGCAGCACTATGTTACTAGGAAGAACAAGTTACTGAAGTATTAGATTGAAAGGGAAGACGTCTCTGCCTTTATTGTCTCCACAGAGGTCTTAACTTTTGACCTTGTGTTTTGTAATCACCTAGTATTATACTGTCCCAAATGGTGCTAAAATGGGTGCTATATTAAACTCTGCATCCAGTAATTACAAATGGTGGTAGGGTATGGGTAAACTGATCATCTAATCGTTTACCAAGTAGAATATGGTAGGACAGTGTCTGCTAGTGGTTAGCGCTCCTGGAGTACAGAGATGATGGTTTTGCTCTGGACCTTGAAGAACTGGTTGGATTTCTCTTGTTGGGGAATGTGAATCACAAATCTGAAGTGGGGGGGGGGGGTACAAGTGCGGGAGGCTGGTGAGCATTCTGGTTTGGCAGGAGCACTGGGCGCCTGGAGGATCAGCTGGGGAAAGTAGGAAGGACTTTTAACTTGGTAAGTTTTGACTAGGTAACAGGGACCTTTTATATTACTAGGGTTTTAAAAACACTTTTTTCCCTGTTTGAAAAACCCAAGTATAGAAGATGTGAAAAAATGTTGTTTTAAAAGACTCAAACAATGTAGAAATATATTCTGTGCCCATAGATTTTATGTTTAGGAGTTAAATGTTCACTTTTAATGAATAGAATGGAGAAAAACAGTTAGTTAATTGGAATTCAGTTTATAAGAATGAGGTCTAGGTTTAAATTATGAGAATGATCTGTAACTGTATTCTTACTGGCTTCTTTTACTGAAAATTTTGTTATATTGTAATACAGTGCTGCTCATTACTCTCAGTAAGATATACTTGTGTTCCTAACATGGGGGAAGACTAGGTCATAAATTTGTGAGGATTCAAACACACACACACACACACACACTTTCGCCTTGTCACCAAAACAACATTGGAAGTCATGTTTTTGGTGCTTTCTTGGACCACGGAGTAGTGATTAGTCGAATTAAATATATTTACCTTTTTAATATTTGCTAGGTGTAATCAGAGATATGTGAAAACTCAGTAAATGTTAGTAGAGATGAACACCTGTGTTAATTTAAATGATTGTGGTATTTTGAGCTAAAATCTATACTTTACCAAGGTCCTTGAGGCTCAATGTTATGTGGGCCTCTTCTTGCTTCATCTCCTACCCATTCTGTTTATTATACTTTAGGGACACTGGCTTCCTTTTGTGCACTTTGAATATGCCAGGCTTACTCCTGTTTTAGAGTTTTATTCCTTGCTGTTTCATCTACCTGTTCTATTCCCCTTCCAACTTTTAACATCTCGAGTCTTTACTGACCACCCAAGCTGAAAACTCTGTCTTTGGTTACTTTCTGGTTATTTTACCCAATTTTTTCATTTCCTTACTCTCTGAAATTACCCTGTTTGTTTTTATTTCTTGTCATGTTATATTAGAATGTAAGTTCCATGAAGATAAGGATATTCTACAAGGATACCTCAAAAGAGTTTGTAGAAAAATGGAATTTTAATGGAAATGTAAGTTTATTTTGGTACAGAAATTTTGGAATTCATACATAATGTGCATTTTCTGTGAACTTTTTAGTGACTCCTTCCTGTAATGGGATTGTTCTTGTTGTATGGGGTTCAAACAATAGTGAAGAAATTGGACCCTTATATGTAGCTGGTAGAAATGTTGAATGGTACAGTTGCTTTTGGAAAACAGTTTGGAAGTTCCTACCATATGACCAACATTTCCATTGCTAAGTATATACCTAGGAGAAATGAAAATATGGACCTGCACCAAAATTTGTATACAAATTTTTATAGCAGCGTTGTTCATAGGCAAAATCTGGAAACAACCAAATTTCTATCGATTCGTAACTGAATAAATAAAATGTGGTTTTTCTGTTAATGGACTATTATTTGGCAATAAAAATAAATGAAATACTGAAATACACTACAATGTGGATGAAACTCAGGAACATTACCTTAAGTGAAAGAAGCTGAGCATAAAAGACCACGTTTATATGAGATGTCCAAAACAGGTAAATCTTTGCATTTTGGGTTAAGCTAAGTAACTTAGAAAAAGGGCTTTCTGGTAATGATTGTTTAATGAAGTTAATTTGGTGGTAGTGTGCAATATGAGGATGGTAAAGATGATATCTGTAGTGTCCATTCCCACCTTTCCAGTCCTATTCCAGCTCTCTATTCTCCCTATGTTAGACTTTGACCATGGTCAAGTGTCTTTTGCAGTATATTAAAAGCTTGATAGCTTTCCTTGTGTTTAGTGTCTGCCTAAATAGGGTGATGGCAGCAGAACAAAAAGGAACGGTCAGGTGTAAGAAGTTCATTGAAGTAAAAATTTTAGATGTCAGCAAGTAAACCTAAAAAAACAAAATAGAGAAATCTGAATTTTTTTGAGAGAACAGGTAATTTTTGGTTTTCAGTTTGGTCAGACAGTAAGTTTGTTGCCACATGTATGTGTAAGTGTGTATAGTTTTTGGAACACTGTAATTGTGCATTGAATCCAGGAACAAAATTAAGACTGTGAGACTGCCACCCTGTGGACAATATAATTAAAATCCTCCAGAATTAGAGTAATGCTTTATTCTTTTGCAATTTATTATTTTAGAACTGGCTATAGTTCTTCTTGTAGGTGTATGTGGTTGTGTTCATTAAATAAAAAGCTTGGAATTAGTTTGTTCTCTGAGCTCTTAGGCTTTTAAATAGAATCTAACGTACAATCAGTAGCTTAAAAATGTTATGTAGAAACTTAGGAGTGCATTTTAAATGGTATCTTTCTTTGCTCCAGAAATATTATATAAAAGCGTTTGTTTTTTAAAAAATATTGTAGCATGTAAGCCTATTGTGAAATATTTTTTCCCATTGTACTGATCTTTTCATCTTGTTTTATGATAAGTATGGTATTGTCCTTGAGAGTTAAATTTCTTGAAGTATGTGAAAACTGCCTCTTTTTTGGCTAAGCAAAAAAATTTTTAAAAAAGATTTATTTATTTACCTGAAAGAGGGAAAGAGATCAATCTTCCATCTCTGGTTTACTCCCCAAATGGCTGCAACACCCAAGGTGGAGCCAGGCCAAAGCCAAGAGCCAGGGGCTTCTTGTGGGTCTCTCACATGGGTATAGAGGCCCAAGCACCTGGGCCATCATCTGCTGCTTTCCCAGGCCACCACAGGAAGCTGTGTTGGACGTAGAGCAGCCGGCGTCACAGGCTGAAGTGTCACCCATAAAACACGGTGGTAGCCCCTGAATATGGATTATTATCCTCATTTTTTGTCTGTGTGTGGAATTGGTTGTAGTTATTAAAAATTCTCCCAGGAGCCAGCGCTGTGGTGTAGCGGCTGCCTGTAGTACTGGCATCCCACATGGGTGCCGGTTCAAGTTCAAGTCCCGGCTG